CAACTTTCACACCAAGGTTCAACTCGGGTTCAACTCGAGTGACAGGACTGCACCCAAAAAAGGTCAAACAGGCTAGTAAGTTGTACCCTGCAGGCACGGTGACCAGGTGACTGGTGTACGCAGGAGCACGTGACCGCTTCTTCAACCATGTTCGATTGGGAATAAAGGAGGAACGCCGCATCGCAGCCTTTTCGGACCAAAACCAGTCGACTCAGCGTCCCAAATACTACAACATATGGGCCAATCGCCGTCATCCGTGCTTTTATAAGAACGAAATGGCGCTTTTAGTGACATTTTGCATACAAATCCCCATCTCGTAGGGCGCAGTCACCCAGTTTCGGTGGAAGTGCGCGAGTTCGATTGGGATTCAAGTAGGAAGGGAGCGTCTCAGCTTCCTCGGACCAAGACCATTCGACTCAGCACCCCGAAGACTACAACTGGTGAAATTTTAATTTTTGCCTTAACTTCCCCTTTAAACAATGGGTGGCCTAACCTTCATAACAACTGCATTCCTGTCTACGGCCATACCACGTTGAAAATACCGGTTCTCGTCCGATCACCGAAGTCAAGCAACGACGTCGGGCGAGGTGTTAGTACTTGGATGGGTGACCGCCTGGGAATACCTCGTGCTGTAGACTTTTCTTCTTTTTTCTTCTTCACGGCAGTGACAAACAAGACTTTTTTTCCCCACCCGTAGTATACAGTACGTCATGTACGGGTACATCGATCAACTGGCATCACATGCCGACAGGCTGGACGGGATCAACTACTTGACACAACTTGTTGTAGCAACTGCAGCTCAGCTGCTGCATCCCTGCGTGTCTTCTGAGCGAAGGCCGGTTTCGAATTTTCAATCATTCACAAATGCAAACGAGCGAAGGCCCGTTTCGAATTTTTCATCCACAAACAAATCAGCGCGCGGCATAAAAAAGAAAAAACAACCCCGGCCCCGGGCCCTATACACGGAGCTACGCCCGGCCATCACCCCCATCACCTGCACCGGGCCCACGTGACATAGCCAGGTTTTCAGGAGCAGAGTTTTCCTTCGAAACTAACTTTTATTTGCCATTTTTGGACTTTCACAGTTTCAGTTCAACTTTGAAGACAACTTACTTACTTTCTTCTTCATGTTCACCAGCTGAACTCCGCCGACGATGTTCTGCTATTGACGCCGACTGTCCTCTTGCACAGCACTTCTACTGTTGGTCTTTGTGGTGGTGTTAACGCCCACCTCCTGCGTTTGTGGGGAAACTTTCAATTCCCAGACAACGTTCAGATTGTGGTTTTTGCCATGTCAGGGCAAATGCTCCGAAACATCCGGCGGGTTTGTCTAGTTGCAGAGCTCACTAAGTAACTAACTAGCTTTCAAGATGCCATGTGGCCTGGCTCTTAGTGCCTTGGAGCGTTTCGAGGCATTGGTGAGTGATGTAATTGCATAGAATTCTGACTCCGGACAAGAGACAATTTGATTATAGTTGTCACAAGTTATGATGTTTGGCAATACATGAAGTGCTGTTAGGTGCTATCATAGAGTATAGTAGCAAAATGTTGAACAGACGCAGTTGTTGCGACTTGTTTTGAAAGTATGGAAATGAAACATTGGCCGCAAAAGACATGGTTTGTGCAGCTGTCTCTCTGAGAACAAACACATTAATAGCTGTGTTTCACTGCTTTTCGTGGCCAGTGTTTTATTTGCTCAGTGTGGTGGTGTGCGATAGGGTGGTTCTAAACCCTGAAGACTGCATTCAGAACACTAAACACTGCTCTGTAAAATTCAATGTGCTATTGTGGGTATGGCAAACAGTTTATGATTGAGAACGGTTTGCAGGGCCAATGTGAACGCATGACCAGAAAATAAGCCGACTGTTCCAGGTAGGGACATGATTTTCCTGGACAAGGGAGAGAGCCGTGATGTTGCAGCAAGTGCACAGCTAACCGGTATGCTGTTGTGCAAGTTCAGTTTAGACCACTGCATGTCCGCTGCATGCATGTGTGCATGGATTGATAGTGATTATGCACTTCTCAGTTCACCGGGTTGTGCTTTGTGAAAGTTGAATGTACCATGTGGTAGGTACTGTTGCTAACATTGTCTACGTTCTATTCAGCCAGTAGCTGGTACAATCATTTGTACCCTTTTCAGCACTTCATGTTGTAAGTGAAGACATACATGTACTCCCCGGTACATATCCTTGCATAGTATTCCACACCGGGGAAGGTAGAATGGAACACGGTATTTGTAGTGACTCTGAGCTTCATGCTGAGGCAATCATCAGACAGCCGTAATTGACAGCTGAGATATCAACGCCGAAGGCGAGAGGTCCATCGCCAGCTAGCTTGGACGTGAACTTAACAGCATGCCGCAGGGCATCTTTGCAGCTAGTGTTGGCCAGAGTCACAGAGCGGGTGAACCTCTCACTTCTATGTTGTGATCTCGTGAACGTTTGCATGCCTGCTAAATCGCTAATCCTTAGAGCAAAGAGTAATGCTAACATTGGTACCGATTTTCTGTGAAACAGTAGTGATAGTCACTATGATATTATGACCTTGCATAGGACTATACTTCATTGTACTGGATGGTTAACACCATTAGTGTATTCTATTAATTGTCTCTGCTCTGATTCAGGACCCAAAGGATGTGGATCAGGCTGTCGACTTCTCCGGGCGTGGCCAGCCGGACGACAACTCCTCGACTTCGCTGCTCAACGGAGCACACTTTGTGGAACAACTGAAGATATTCTCCGAAGCTAGTCTTCATGACTCCGGGGTAGTCATAACACGCTTGTGTACTCTATTGGAGGACTCGTTTGCACAGGTACATACATGTACACTACTAGTATTTTTTGGGGGGGGTGGGAGGGGGGGGGGGGGGTGCTTGTTTTCTGCTTCATGTATTAGCAGTGCTGGTGCTCACGGTCTGGACGTCTGGCAGTTAGACCAATCGTCTTGGCGAGAATAATCGGTCAGAATTGAAATCAGAGGGTGATGGTCGGTAGCAACACTGAATTATGAGCCAGTCAGGAATATATGCTACTTGTAGACGGGCCACACGGTGGCTGGTAGCTCGAGCTCCATGCTAGCGCGGTGTGTTTCCGCATCACTCAAGTGAAGTATCTGTTACCGCACACAACATGATGTACTACTAACCATCTTGTAGCTGCCATGGGACAAACCCGAGGACACGGAGTGCCGAGGCATCTGTCTCTTAGCACAGCTCTTTTCCCGCGTGGAAGTACGGCAGAGATGACGGGCTAAGCTGCACCCTTAACCAGGCTCAACATATTGCCCTTATAAGTTATAAGTGCAGCCCTTTATACTTTGGGCACACTTGCCTGCAATCAGGCCCTAGGCCCTTCAATTTATGGTACATGGCACCCTCAGATCTCTAGTGACCATATATGCATCGCACTACTGTTTATGGCACATTGTAGTGCACGTCCTGGAATCCCTTCGGCCTTTGCACCAAGAAGGGACCCACTGACCCACTAGCTACCTAGTCAACACGGTACCTTTCTTCAGTGCTAATGTGGCTTATAAGCATGTAGTAGCACTTTATGCGTTATGCAGTACACGAGGGCTGCCTTGCTCCAGGCTTTCCCTGCCAAAAAGGGACCTTCGTGTCCAGCAAGCAGCGTGCATGCCTGTCGTGCCGACAGTGCAGTCTGAGGTCCCTGGCTGTGTCCACACCGCAATCCTGTTCGGTTTTTGGCGGTATCTGTCGCTTGCCATACGCAGCAAAGCTACCATACAGTAAGATCGGGCGCCGAAGAACGCAGGGGCTCGAGCGCAGCCTAGGAAAGTTCTTAAATTTTTGATTCTAGCCAGACCGTTCTTATTCACACGCGCGCGGCGAGTCGAGTGACGTCATGACGTTTGTCATGTACATGTAGTGCAATGTAGTACTTCTAAACTAGTGGGTGTCGTAAATGGGAATGACTGTACATGTAGCAGTTACTGTTTACACGTGTACATGACATGTACTCACCTCCCGTACGTGTACAATGTATGATCAGTTAAATACTGCACTCATGTGGAAATTCCAAATTTTAAAAGTGTTCTTAAATCTGATAATTCTAGCCTGGACTGTTCTTAAATTTTGCCGGTTTTCCAGCCTGGGTGTTCTTCGGCGAGGTGTTCTTCGGCGCCCGATCTTACTGTAGTTCTTCTAGGGGACTCTATATGTGCATGTATACAGTGTTGTATTCACCGACCCCGACCTTGCTGCTACGGTCTGTTTGCTCTTTTGAATTCTCTGGCTTGTCCCGGCCCCCTCTTCATGGTAAGCATCCACCGGCTTTCCCTAAACTCCTCTGATTTCCTGTGTGCTGTTTGCTTGCAGTGTGCACCGCCGCAATGTTCGCACAAACAGCTCAAGTTGCTGCGCGGTCTCGAAGTGGCTATCATTCAGGTGAGTGACTGTCACTGAGCATGCATCCTACGATAGAAGCTATGGTGCAATGCCCAGTAATGATGCATGTGTACGCAATAGACGCCTAGAACATGGCATCTCAAATCCTTCAATTCTCTTTCAAAATAGATCTGCTGTCGGTGTCCATCATTATCGAACGTATAGAAAGAATGAAGGACGAAAAAAGCTGAGAAGTCATAGTTTGCTTTTGACTTTCCAACAGACAAAATTACGAACTCTGTTTGCTCTATTGCCATGTATGTATTTATTGTAGCTTCTGACGTCAGCTGGCACGGCGTTCCCGAAAGATTTCTACTGTGAAACTAATGTTTATGGAATGATGGGAGCGGCACGCTACTTCACACGCTGCACATACTGCATTGTTGACTACGTAGTGCCAAAGTCGGAGCGCCTTGATAGCATGAGCAGTGCTGAAAGCAGCTCTTCCCCATCTCCGCCGCGGATCACAACCCCGCGTATTGGCCCTGTCGCGTATCGCAGCAGAGCCATGCAGTGTAAGTTTGTGTGTGTGTGTGTGTGTGTGTGTGTGTGTGTGTGTGTGTGCATGTGCGTGCGCGTGTGTGTACTTTATAAAGTAGTTCGGTTGGTGAGTGCACTATTGCCAGATAGTGATTTGGTATGTTGACATTGAACTCAGCTGCATGAAAGTATTGTGTTATACTGTTGATGCCATCCACGTTGGTTTCAGATTCTATACTGTAAATCAACAAATTTTCGCCGGTGAAAAACTTTCGCCGATCTTCAAAAAACACTTTTCGCCGCCACTAAACTTTCGCCGTGGGCGTGCAAGAGTCCAAAACAGTGATCGATGTTTCGTGTGCGCATGTGCTAGTAGTATAGTACTAGTACAAAGGTCCGCGTAGTTTGTAGACCCCTGTCTACTGTACGCATTTTTTACAGAGAGTCCGGCAGTATAAGAATAAGAGTGACCCAAACTGACATTTGGTTCTGGTGACAAATTTTGGCCGGCGATTAATTTTAGCCGATTCACATCGACCGGCGAAATCAGCGAAATTAAATCGCCAGCGAAAACTTGTTGATTTACAGTATACCGTAAAGTACCGTGAGAGAACCCCGTCTCTGGGGAGTCAGGGGAGTGTGCCCAACCTAGAGAATGCAGATGGATCCCTGAGAGATAATCATACCCTGATGCCGTCAATCCTGCTGTGCTCACCCACGTACTGTGGCATGGTGAGGCCATTCATACGCCCATCCAATAAGCCCACGAACTTTGATGCAACGGTTGCTTGTCACGCGTGGCTCTACACGTGAAAGTACACACAAAATTCGATCCAACCAAAGCAGAATGGTGATATGTGAGCACTTACCCGATCGGGACCTCTGCCAATCGGCCGATAAGTCAAGACGTCTCAAGATTAGTCCCGATTGCATCTTTCAACACCGTACTCTTCGCCAAGCGGAGTCGGCATATGTGAATGCCCCATGACTTACATGTAGTCCCACAGCAACCGTGGCCATTTTTCTTTTGTTAAAAATAAATTCTACTTCTTCTGAAGCACATTTTGTATGCGGAAACAAATGGCGGGACAATTGAAATGCTGGTTAAATCCCATTGCACTGTAGTACTGCCATGTTGGTATTTCCCTAACACGTGTGTATTTTCTTTTCCCTTTGTTGCCTCTCAATGTATAGCACTTTGTTCTGCTCAGTCGACTCTTCCTGAACTCCACCTCCCAGGACAACACAATGAAGGTCCAGAAGACGATGACAGTGACGGTGGCACCATGCCTCGGAGATCGGTCTTTCGTGGCGACCTTGATCCACTCCTGGAGACAGTCTTGAAGGCCATTCATCCGGTTGGTGATGTTTGATCTGCTGATACATGTGTGTTCTTGCCCATACATGTAGTACAGTTGCGTATAGGGCTTGACAGTGATGACGTCAGAAGTCAATAAATAACGACTTCTGGGGTCAAATTGGATCCACTCTGACCATAGCGAAATATGGTACTGTAAGACATGTTATTATAACAAGTCGCAAATTTAACGATTGTCCAAAATCCGTAGGTTAACGCGAACATACGATTACAGTCTTCAGGCATATCCGCACATATCATATATGTGGCCTTACAGCCTCAACAGAACTTATTATGTTTTAACGAAGAAGTGTCACCCGTTAAAACGTTAGATTTGCTTCCTCGTTACATTTACATGTCTTGCAGTATCTGGTTAGTAGGCCCCTCTTGTTGCGTGCTGGTGTGATTTTTCTTGATACCATCAGTGGGTCCCCGGCCCGGAGGGTCCAGTCCAGTCCCTCTTGTTGCATGCTGGTGTGATTTGTCTTCATACCAGCAGTGGGTCCCCAGCCCGGAGGGTCCAGTCCAGTCACTACCGGCGGATATGTCACCCAAGTGTGAAGGAAACCTCCGAAACAAACATGTGGGTCCAAATGGATCAAAAGTGTGCATTGTCATGACTCTGGCTTGGCTGCAACGTACTGCGCTTTCAAGCCCTATTGGGAATTGTACAGAAAAGCACTCCGTGGATGGCTTGATACTGAATTTACCAAAAAAAGTTGCCACCAGAACTTCCACTTTTGCAATGCAGTACTAGTACTAGTACGTGCATGCCTCTTGGTTATGCATAAAGTGGCTTGAATGAACGCCTGACTAGAATAACACATGTCCTAAACAAGAATTTGTTTCTGTGGCTGTAAGCTCTGCTTCAGGTACACCTTCACATCAAAGGTTGATCATAATGTTGACCGGTCCCTGCTTGGTACACCTGAGCTCAGCGGATAGATCACCGCTTGCCTATGTCGAAGGTCCCTGGTTCGAGTCCTGGTGGCGACAGGAACAAATTTCTTCAGACTTTCTCCCTTTTCAATGCCTCTACTGATGAATGTTTCTGAGATTCTTGTCTCTTTTCCCTTTTTTTGCCCTGGCGTTCAGATTATTACCAGATACATGTCTTCCACTACCCTCAGCACCAGTATGATGCGTGTTGTGTCTCGCATTGTTTACGTTATCAGTGCGTACAGCTTTGAGTTTGTCAAGCGACGAATTTGTTCAGTGTACGTATTCTTTGAATGGAGTGTAAAAATGTGGGGTATGATGTCTCTCTTCTCTCTCTCTCTCTCTCTCTCTCTCTCTCTCTCTCTCTCTCTCTCTCTCTCTCTCTCTCTCTCTCTCTCTCTCTCTCTCTCTCTCTCTCTCTCTCTCTCTCTCTCTCTCTCTCTCTCTCTCTCCCACCATCTCTTTCATGTTTATCCTCCGTACATGGACACACGCACACACACGCGCGCACACACACACACACACACACACACACACACACACACACACACACACACACAATTATATCATTATAATTTTATAGTTATCGTATGGCTGGGGCGGATAGACGCTAGAGTGGCAGGCACTTCTGCTCATGATAGCATGATACTTGGCTTAGTTGACGATTTCTTTCAGGATGACTACCGTATATTCTCTATTATAAGCACCGTGCTTATATTTTTTCAACACCCCTCTACCCCGTGCTTATATTGGAGACCGTGCTTATATTTTTTCAACCAATACATCCATACAGAGCAAGAAGAAATACATGCTAGATATTATGCATGCAGCATTGATTTCCACCAAGACCGTGCTAATAATAGAGACTGTGCTTATAATGTTTCGAAAGGTGCTCACAGTGTGCTTGTATTAGAGACTGCGCTGGTAATGGAGACCTGTGCTTATAATAGAGAATATACGGTATGTTTGTAACATAATATTATTGAAATGCACACGTGCCATTCTATGGGCTTGTTTGTCGATGTAGGTTTGGCGCAACTGAAGAGAAGCCCATGGACGAGGATGCGCTTGAGAATCTTGTTTACTTACAACATGCTAAACCACGGCTGCAAGACATCAATGACATCCTGAAAGGTATTGTACGGCTTTTTCCAGCACTTCCATCTACTGGCAGTAGTGCTTGCACTGGTGTTCAATTTGTTGTTGTTGTTGTAGTGTGGCTACAGCCATGCATTGTAAGTCACAGAGTTGTGGGTACAGACTCCCGCTGATTGAGCCGTTGGTTTAGTTCTTCTTCTGTATGACTTTCATGCAGCTGTAGTCAATGCTGCCGTGTTCAGTTGAAAAAGTGACTCTTGTGCAGTGCCTTGAATAACTTGCTTTTTCCCGAAATGCCAGTGCACGTCAATCCTTGTAGAGATGCTTCGTCACACTTGATTATCCTTCTCCTAGTTCCTATGGCACAGACAAAGTGTCAACGTACAATCACGTGCTCTGCGCAATGTGCTGTATGTTGTGCATTTTGCAGCGACTTTGGGTGTGATCGGTGATATGAAGCGGCTAGAAGCGATTGTTCTCGCCCAGAGCCTTCACCAGGTATGTAACCGATGGCGGAGATGGTAGTCGTGGCGGGGCAGGCACCCGTGCCATGTATGATTTTTGTCTGCAACCATGTTCTCACTTGCTGACTGTGTGACTTGAGTTGAGTATGACCATTGGCAAGCAGCCTTTCTCCCAGTGTTGGTTGACAGTACACATTGCTCAGTGCTTTTACATGTATCTTTTCTTTTCAACACAGAGCAGAGAGAAGTTCTCCTGTCCACTGCTCTGTGCACTACCCAGGGGCTATTCCATCTCCCAATTGACTTGATTGTGTCCAGTGCCCTTTCATACTTCACGCTTCCTTTTGAAAGGGTCTACTAACGATCTAGCGGACTTGTTTGCAACACACCATGATAATAATTATTATGTGTGCCCTGTTGATTCTTTTTGCCTATCATTGTATGCTGTCAACTCATGCGGCACACTGGCATATCCAGATAGGGGCGCGGGGTGCTTGCCAGGCCCTCGTGCCTAAAAACCCTGCTAAGGCGAGACCAAAAAAATAGAGATTCCCGGGCCCTCCCGCACCAAAATCGAGTCAAAGCCAAAAACAATTTGAACAGTTCATACATGTACAGTACTGATCGTGTGAGTAGATCTGTCACGTGGAGTCACACAAACCCGAGTTTGCACGACTCCCTGATGTACAGATCAGGGCCATCGTTGGCCAAAATACAGAAAAATAGAACGGGTAAGCCGCGTACCTGTTGTCTGTAAAAGATGAATAAAAATTACCGGAAAATGCTATAAAAAAGTTCAACATGGCATGCACACATAAAATCGGTTGTGGCAACAAACGCGATTAGGCCGGCTGCAGGGGCGCCGTAATGTCGCACTTGCCCCAGCACCATTCAAACAATTCCCTTTGGCAGTTCACGGCACGAACTTCAACAAAGCCCCGTGAATGCGTACCAGGGGAAGGCTAGACAGCATGTCTCTAGACATCAATAGGCATCGTATGAAAAGCCAGTCAATAGCACTAAAGAGCGAAAGCCTTTGTCACGGTTCGGTTTCACTCGCGCACCGGGCCCGAGCTGGCAGCACAAACAAACGCCGGACGCGAGCTGGCAGCACAAACAAATGCCGTACTCACACGAGACCGTTGGGCCAACGGATGGCCACAGCCATCAAAAACAGGAACAAACCCATCCACGGCTCTTTCTCTTGCTAGCTGTGCTGCTGCGTGCATCCAACTGTTTTGCAATTACTGCACTCCGAGCCACGAAAACGCAGGACAAGACGAGGGCTGATAGTAAAAGCCCAGCGAGTGCAGATGCGATGCACGGACGATGAGAGCTATTTCGATGTCGAAAAAGAAATGAACGAGCTCGAAAGATCATATGAGAGAGCGGAAGGCGGAAGGGACGATCACAGATCTAGCTGGTTTATACGAAGCAGAGAGCTGCTCAGCAATGCGAGAGAGAAGGATAAGATGATTAGTGAGCTGGAAGTACTCCAGAGGCAATTTGACGAAGCGACAGACTTGGCGTTTGAAATTGTAAGAACAACTCACCGCGTGCCAGTCGCCTCAGCTGAAACGCAGCAGTATACCGGTAATTCGCATCAACAGTGCCGCGATGAAGCCAGGGAAGTCGGCGGCTGGTGGCCAGGACATGTTTACAGCAATGAACCGTCCGCAGGACCATGGCTTGGGTTTGAGTCACAGCCGGGATTGCTGGCCAGATCGCTACAACAACGAGACGTGAACAGGTCCGCCAGCGGAGATGCAACAAATGCAACTGATCAACAACTACGTTTTGACACGGATGACCGCACAGCAGTAACAGGGCATTCAGTTATTTCAACAGCTACTGGTACACATGGTACTGGTGGTACCATCCCAGAGGTCACCAGCGCAGCGCTGTCCAGTCCAACAGTCATTGGCCAGTATACAGATGGTTCCGCAACAGTGACCATGACAAGTGCCACTACATGTACCACAGTAAGTGTCAATGATGGTGTGAGTGTTCTTGCTAGGCCTGCTACTGCAAACACAACTACCTCAGGCAGTACATCTAGTAGTAGTTCTAGGTCACTGGTCTTACATTACCCTTGGGCAGTACTGGCAGTAGCAATGTTCTTCCAAGCAATTCTGTATACTCAACCAGTACGCATAGTGTGAATACTGCAGTGAATACTAAGTACAGTGTTCGTACACAGGCTAATCCACACTCTTTCAGAAAGCCTCCAGTGTCAATGGCAGCGCCCCAGTCATGTATCCAGTGGCAGGCACCGCCTATGAGCACAATGTCAATGGCTTCTACAGGTACTAATGTATATGGGCATACCTACCAACCACAGATGTCTTCCGGGTACATGCAACAGCCAAGGGTTATGCAACACCATCCAATATTGGAAATCAAATGTATGCAACAGGGCTACCTCAAATGCAACAAAACCAGGCTCGTGCAGAGCCATGGAAGCAGCTACAACGAGTTGGCATACCGATATTCAGCGGTGACAAACGTACGTTTGAGTCATTCCGAGAAGCTTTCATGGCATGTGTAGATAGTGCACCCGCCACCCCTCAGTACAAGCTGTTGCAATTGAGGCAGTATTTGGCAGGAGAAGCACTAACAGCCATCGAGCGATTTGGCTACTCACCATCAGCCTATGACGCAGCTAAGAAGTTGCTAGAGCGCAAGTGTGGCGGTGAGCGTCGTCGTGTGGCTTTACATATTGAACGCGCACAGCCACTTGACCACATCGATGGGTCTGCAACCAGTGGTACCTCCACGTGCACAGCCAACACTCCCAACAGTAGCAGCAGCAACAGCAGCACAGCGGGCTGGTCGAGTCTCTGTTGATGTTGTGGTGCCTGAGCGCCACATGCGCGACAGCCTGGAAACGACTGCACCAATTCTGCAAACTAGTCGGCACCAAGGTGATTACAGACACCATCATGCTGGCGTTTGTAGCCTACCTGGCACGTCAACATGCCGCGTCAACCGTCCGCTTGTATGTGTCGGCGATCCGGGCAATTGCCAAAGAAAACGGCAAAGATCTCTCTTCGCGAAGAGTGGACCTCGCAGTTAAAGGAGTGGCACGCGCACAGGCCAACCGAACTAAGAACGCCAGCAAGCCAATCCTCCGGCCCCACATAGCAGCTATGCGCAACGCCCTGATTAGGTCTAATCTCAACGCTACCGACCGAGCCATGGCATGGGCAGCCATTTGCCTGGGCTTCTTCGCCTGTCTCCGGGCAAGCGAATACACTTCCACAACCGCCACAACCATGTCAGACGGGGGCCTCCGAACAAATGACCTCTCCATCACGCCGCAGGCCATACAGGTCACAATCAAGAAGTCCAAGACCGACCAACTCGGCAAGGGTCACTCCGTCCGGCTCACAACCACCAACTCAACGGTTTGCCCGGTCAGAGCCATGCATACCTATCTCTCCAGACGCGCCAACCTGCCCAATAGACCACTGGTCATCGAAATCTGTGGCAATTTCCTGGCTGCACAAAGACTCACACGTCTAATCCGTCAGCTCCTGAGCAGCCCAGGGTACCCACCGAACCAGTATCCACTGCACGGCGTCAGAGCCGGACTCGCAACCACAGGAGCATTGAGCGGCTTCACCGAATCCGAGATCATGAAACTCGGCAGATGGTGAAGTGCCTGCTGCAAGCACTATGTCCGCTGTGGAAAGTAACTGTTCACCGTCCGCAGGCGCGCAAGCGCGCACAGCCACATACACGCACCCGCATACACACGCACGCACGCGCACACCCACATGCATGCACACACGCATGCGTACGCGCGCCCGCACTCTGACACCGTGCAAGCATGCACGCATGCACACACGCTGCGCACCCGCTGGTACGCCCACTCACGGACGCACGCATTCACGTTCTAGCACTGACTGTGCACGCACGCTTCTGATACTTATGAGAAGCTATCTGCTCCACTTAGTTGCGGTGCTATTGCTCTCACCTATGGCACCATGCCACCCATAGCTTTTGTGACTGCATGCGATTCAAACCCTTTTCAGTGTCACTTAGGCTGCAACCACACTAGGTACAAAATCACGTACAAACGGCATTACAGTAGAAATCGTCATGCCGGCGCGTGCGAAATGCAAAATGCGCTTTGTAGGTTTTCAGCAACTGGCGCACCCCTGTAGAAAGCCACGTTTGTCGTTTTCGTCGTTTTCGCGCTCCTTCTGCTGTGTACAACTTTGCTTTTGTACCGGGTCATCGTACATAGCATCAGCACCAGCATTGTTTTTGAATTTCCCGGTCTTTTCCAGCGCATGGCACACGCTTTGGTACGACAACGTCACGTGCTGGTCGCGTGAAAACGTCATCTATGCAGACCGAAAAGTGTAGTGTGGTTGAGTACCGACTTGTACTGAGATATGCATGAAAATTTGTACTGTGATTTTTACGTAGTGTGGTTGCGGCCTAAGGGAATACAAACATACGAATGGCATGCATTCGAACTACACGCATGTAGCTGAAGCGCTTGAATACCATACTAACTTAACTAAGGTCATTCAGCTGACCAACGCGGAATTTGGGGGCATTCGGCGGCTTGGTCTGATTCCTAGCTTGTTGGTAACCGGCTTGAGATTTCAAAGGTTGCTATGACAACGTGCAGTCATGCGCAGGGCCACCCAACATGCATTTGGGGGCCCAGGAAAGACAGAACCAACAGCAAAAGCGCTCGGCGAGTATCACGCTACTCATGCAGCACGCACGTTGGCTTAGGGTATCACGCTACCCTTGCGCTGCGGGGTACCACATTGCCCCTCGCTGGAATCAGACCCGCGCCCCGGATACCTTGCGCTGGCCTCCTGACGGCCAAACTCAACCAACTTGTGCACTGTGACTGAGGTTGTGCATGTATTAGCAACATAATGTGGCCCAGGTCGGCAGACTTTCAATTAGGCAAGCGAGCTACTCAGGCCAGGGTGCATGATCACTATTCGCAGCACTTATCGTCCATGCAGCAGTCGGGTTAAAATCGGTTGTGGCAACAAACGCGATTAGGCCGGCTGCAGGGGCGCCGTAATGTCGCACTTGCCCCAGCACCATTCAAATAATTCCCTTTGGCAGTTCACGGCACGAACTTCAACAAAGCCCCGTGAATGCGTACCAGGGGAAGGCTAGACAGCATGTCTCTAGACATCAATAGGCATCGTATGAAAAGCCAGTCAATAGCACTAAAGAGCGAAAGCCTTTGTCACGGTTCGGTTTCACTCGCGCACCGGGCCCGAGCTGGCAGCACAAACAAACGCCGGACGCGAGCTGGCAGCACAAACAAATGCCGTACTCACACGAGACCGTTGGGCCAACGGATGGCCACAGCCATCAAAAACAGGAACAAACCCATCCACGGCTCTTTCTCTTGCTAGCTGTGCTGCTGCGTGCATCCAACTGTTTTGCAATTATTATTTCTCCCTCCCACCTACGCCTCCTGGTATTTATTATCGCTCTACACTATCCTACGTCTCCCAATGAGTGCCACTCAGCATGATGGTACTCCAAGCTACATTGTATTTGATCTGTCCTAGCTCACTATTGTGGACAAAATATTAATTCAATTGCAATGAAGCGCCGGGGGCCGGCGGGGCATTCGGCGGCTTGGTCTGATTCCTAGCTTGTTGGTAACCGGCTTGAGATTTCCAAGGTTGCTATGACAACGTGCAGTCATGCGCAGGGCCACCCAACATGCATTTGGGGGCCCAGGAAAGACAGAAACGCGTTGCTAGGCAACAGCAAAAGTGCTCGGCGAGTATCACGCTACTCATGCAGCACGCACGTTGGCTTAGGGTATCACGCTACCCTTGCGCTGCGGGGTACCACATTGCCCCTCGCTGGAATCAGACCCGCGCCCCGGATACCTTGCGCTGGCCTCCTGACGGCCAAACTCAACCAACTTGTGCGCTGTGACTGAGGTTGTGCATGTATTAGCAACATAATGTGGCCCAGGTCGGCAGACTTTCAATTAGGCAAGCGAGCTACTCAGGCCAGGGTGCATGATCACTATTCGCAGCACTTATCGTCCATGCAGCAGTCGGGTTAAAATCGGTTGTGGCAACAAACGCGATTAGGCCGGCTGCAGGGGCGCCGTAATGTCGCACTTGCCCCAGCACCATTCAAATAATTCCCTTTGGCAGTTCACGGCACGAACTTCAACAAAGCCCCGTGAATGCGTACCAGGGGAAGGCTAGACAGCATGTCTCTAGACATCAATAGGCATCGTATGAAAAGCCAGTCAATAGCACTAAAGAGCGAAAGCCTTTGTCACGGTTCGGTTTCACTCGCGCACCGGGCCCGAGCTGGCAGCACAAACAAACGCCGGACGCGAGCTGGCAGCACAAACAAATGCCGTACTCACACGAGACCGTTGGGCCAACGGATGGCCACAGCCATCAAAAACAGGAACAAACCCATCCACGGCTCTTTCTCTTGCTAGCTGTGCTGCTGCGTGCATCCAACTGTTTTGCAATTATTATTTCTCCCTCCCACCTACGCCTCCTGGTATTTATTATCGCTCTACACTATCCTACGTCTCCCAATGAGTGCCACTCAGCATGATGGTACTCCAAGCTACATTGTATTTGATCTGTCCTAGCTCACTATTGTGGACAAAATATTAATTCAATTGCAATGAAGCGCCGGGGGCCGGCGGGGCATTCGGCGGCTTGGTCTGATTCCTAGCTTGTTGGTAACCGGCTTGAGATTTCCAAGGTTGCTATGACAACGTGCAGTCATGCGCAGGGCCACCCAACATGCATTTGGGGGCCCAGGAAAGACAGAAACGCGTTGCTAGGCAACAGCAAAAGTGCTCGGCGAGTATCACGCTACTCATGCAGCACGCACGTTGGCTTAGGGTATCACGCTACCCTTGCGCTGCGGGGTACCACATTGCCCCTCGCTGGAATCAGACCCGCGCCCCGGATACCTTGCGCTGGCCTCCTGACGGCCAAACTCAACCAACTTGTGCGCTGTGACTGAGGTTGTGCATGTATTAGCAACATAATGTGGCCCAGGTCGGCAGACTTTCAATTAGGCAAGCGAGCTACTCAGGCCAGGGTGCATGATCACTATTCGCAGCACTTATCGTCCATTCAGCAGTCGGGTTAAAGTCATGTACATACATGGGAAAAAAATATTTAAAAAAATTCGCCCGCCCGCACCAATTCCACATGGGTCCTGCCCGGGAATCTCGATTTTATTTTGGTCTCGTCTAAAAACAACAACTCTCTGAGACAAAGGATTTGGGCAGGCAGACACGCGGATCAGTGACTCGTCTATAGTTATATTTTATTGTGTTTACTTCAAAAAGGCAAGTATATGTAGATACTTCTATGTTGTTCTACAACCACCACCCCCTCTTATAACTGTTAACCCCTTCTGTGTCACGGTGTGCGTTGTCTTTGGCATAGCTCATCTGGAACTGGTTTGAATCGAGTAACGGTGAATTTGCACTGGTGACGTCCAAGTCATGCGAGCACATGGATGCAATTGCTGCTGTTACTTCGGGTACGTATGCCATTTCGTGTACAGTGCTTGGTGTTGCCTATTGATTGTAATATTGTATGTCAGTGTTTCATCCAGATGGCTGGCACGGAGCAGCCCGTAAGCAACTAATTGTTACTCTGTGCTTGGTAGTGGGTGGATACTGGATAGCTATAATGGTGTGTGTGTATGTGTGCGTGTGCGTGCGCACGGGTGTATTTGTGTGTGTGTCTGTGTGTGTGTGTGTGTGTGTGTGTGTGTGTCTGTGTGTGTGTGTGTGTGTGTGTGTGTGTGTACACATGTGTTTGTGTACGTGTATGTATGTGTGTGTGTGTGAGTGTGTTTGTGTGCACTCGCGTGTGTGTGTGTGTGTGTGTGTGTGTGTGTGTGTGTGTGTGTGTGTGTGTGTGTGTGTGTGTGTGTGTGTGTGTGTGTGTGTGTGTGCACCTTGTCCTCGCCCACTTACTGAGGTGTGGTGAGCCCATAAGTGGGATCATTTCCGAGTCCACCCAGAGTTTGGGGATTTCAAAGGGTGGTTCAATAGCCAATTGAGTCATCTTTCCAAGATTCCTTTTGTGTCTCTCTCCCCTCTCCTGGGGAGACCCACGTGACCAGTTTTGGCAGTGAGCAACAAGTACAAGTACAAGTGTGTGCATGTGTGTGTGTGTGTGTGCGTGCGCGCGTTTGTGCGTGTATTCAGTATGTTCGTGTGCTTTGCTGGACGCCTGGCTCGTATTCTGTTTTTTCCCTTCACTGCACGTACTGATGCTTTTTTTTCTTTCGTTGTCAACACTGGTCTTTTTGTTAATTCACTGCTACGTATGCTCTCCCGTCCTGTTCGTACAGCATTTGCGGCTGACCTGTTTGAAGTGCTGGACACTATGCAGCAGCAGGAGAAGAAGAGCTCGTCGACAGCGGAGCGTCGACGCACCGCTTTCTGGCCAGTCATGACCGCACTCATGGTCCTGGCCGAGTTCTTCAACACGGACGTGGAGAGCCGCTCGACGGGCCGCCGCGGCAGCGGCTTCAGCACAATGACGCTGGAGGAGGACCAGGTGCGCGGCCAGCGCTTCTGGCAGAAAGTGGTGGCGTCGCTGCGCTCCGGCCACCGATCGTACCGCGACGGCGCTGTGGTGTGCTGCGTGTCGGTGTGCCGCTGTGCTAGCATGGCCGATGCCAATAGCCCGCTTCGAATGGCAACCACTAGAATCCTGCCTCAACTTGTGGTGAGTGCTATAGTGTGCGTCACGCATTTGGATAGTTTGCTTTTTTTCGGCTTGCTTCATCAATGCCTTCAGCGTTATAGGCGATCGGCGTTGTGCTAGACTGCAATCCCCTAGCATTATAGTCAGTTTCAAAAAGATTAGCAATCCTGGCAATCGCCCGGGGAGTTTGCCGTCTTACCGTATGAGCGCTCGAGCGCTGCCTGGAAAAACTCACTGTGAACTCGAAGAAATATCCCGCGCGAAGGTATGAAAAATGACAACTTACTGACGTCGGTACTCGTACATATTCGTCTGGTTTACAACAAACGAGTTCTTCCTCGCATCGATATGGATCATGGAGTCGATAGAGGACATGTCGAAAGTGTGGTAAATTTTGACGAGCGGGGTGCGTCCGTTTTGTGACCAAATAGATTCTTTGAGCTGCCGCGGATGCAATTTACTCTCACGATGTGACGAAAACGGCATCGACACAGACTCATTCCCAAGGCCTTGAAGTGGCAAAGCTATCCGTGTGACTTCGACGACATTTTGAGAAAAGCAGACGCCTGTGAAAGCTGATAGAAGACGACGTTGACTCCTAAATTCAAATAAATTGGCGATCTTCAAATACTAAAATAATTCTCAAACAGAAATCGATCGATGTGCCGGTGTATTCAACAACACGTAGCTACAGCGCAATGACTTCCGTGTTCACTCACACGATTTTAGTGTTGTGTGTGTTCACAACTTCACATGGCGTGAGCCAGTCAAGTGTCAGTCAGTTCGGCAGGAAACGCGAGCTCCAACAACAAGTCGTTTGGCGCAGCCACCTTCTTTGTCTTGTACCAGCGTGATCACCAAAACAATGAAAAAATGAAGAAAAATGTTTGACTTGAAGATTTGTTGGGATTTGAACTCACAACTTCATGGTCAGCAGACAGCATTCATAACCACAAAGGCAAAAAGGAAGAGATAAATCGTGGGTTTTGATAACAAATCGATACTGGCTTCCAGGGCAAAATATTATAAACCATGGGAAAAGGCCAGAAACTTGGCCGAAATACTAACTCCTTAAAACGATTTGTCCAATTATTCCGAAACCTTCACAGAACAATTTGCCGTGCCCTAACAAGCCATTTTATGTACTTTGTTGTCCAAATTTCCCTTATCTTCATACTTTTTAAGACCCAAACTTGATTGCTAATCTTTTTGAAACAGACTGTAGTGTCAATCTACTGCAATAAACTGTATGCAGCCCTTTCTCAACGTACCATTGCTTGTTGTGTGTCTTTTCTACAACATGTCTCTCAATGCTGGCGGTGGTGTGTGTTTGTGTTTCCTACTGGTGCAGGCTCTACTGTTCACTGCCTCCACTCCGCTGGACTACATAGCCTGCAGGCCCACTGTCCTGAGCCCTATTGCCATCACTTCATTTGAGCTGCAGGTGGTCACACAGCTGGCTTACTTCAACATATTGGACGAGAACGTCAACTTGTTCATTCACTGCCTGGACACTGGTCACCCCACGATGTGCTTGGTGGCTGTCTGCTCCCTGCACTATCTGGTCCAGTCGGGTGTGGTAAGTCCTTTTTTCCCCTGCAGAGGCTATATGTATAGAATTCGAGGGCAACCTGAAGAAAGAGTCGTGCATGCGAAGTGTGCACTGGAACGTGTCTAGAGTAACTGCTGCAAGATGTAGCCATGTCTTGATCTGTTCTTCTGTTTCCTGCCACAGCTGGATGCCTCAGACTCCTGGGCCAAGGACATAGGCTGGAAGCTGCGCAGGCTGTTCATGGTTAGTTGCTGCCATCTGTGCTACACGTTCTACACAACAGTAGTCACATGTGCATGTGTGCATGTGTGCATGTTTGACTGCTCGGCTTGTCGAGTTCAACACTATGGATGCATGTATACTTGTCGCCAAAGAAATCCGACCACGGCGGCTTCGCGAAAGCCATGCTAGTTTGCTTCCCAACAAGTACTTGTTTAAATGATGTGTGCTACTTTCCCCACTTCTTTGATTGATTTTTATATTGTCACTTGTGTAGTTTATGTTATCACTTGTGCCTTGGAACTGTTCATATTGGTGACAATCATGACAAAATGCCAGCACATGGCAATAGCTGGGCGTGCATGAACCCGTACCTGAGTTTCTCTACTTTCATGGATATGCTACACGCATGTCCTCGTGTATCCTCTATTGCTCTTCTGTGCTCTGTAGGATAGCAGCGAGCAGGTGCAGAAAGCGTTTGACAAGACCAAGGTGAAAGATGCTCGATCCTCCAGCGTAAGTACGGCATTCAAAACTGGAAACTGCATGGTCAGGAACACCCCATCTCACGTGGCGGGACAGGTTGTCTAAAGGAGGTCGTTGTGTATTCTGTGAAACACCTTTTGCATAGCCCATCATTCTTATATCCAAGAGAAGAGATACATGTAGCATAAGTTACACTTGAAAACCATTCACGATGAGCTTTGATTTTAGAATTCTCGGTGAGCTACTGAGTAGGCCTTCCAATCCCAGGCATGAGCGTAACTGTCACCCGTGCGTGGCTAACATGCGAGGAAGCAGTCCTTCCAGCTGTAACAGCCAGGAGTCTTGACCAAACATATCTGTCAGATCCTGGGTTCTGTGTGTGTGTGTGTGTGTGTGTGTGTGTGTGCGTGCGTGCGTGCGTGTGTGTGTGTTTATGTATGTTCTTTTGCTGGCACAGATGTTCCATTCCTTCACGTCTAAGGTGTTCAGAAGGAAATCCAGCAGTTTAGATCTAGCTGACCTACACGGGGATGGGTGTGGCAAGAGGTTTAAGGAGCAATACATCGACCGGAGGGTCATCGATGAGGTGAGCTTCTGCTGGCAGGGCATACTTATTTCCATACATGATGCCATGATTTCTTATGCCTGATCAGCGCTATTCTACCACTCACTTTCTGAGCCAATTGAAGGAAGAAATTATATGCATCGGAAATGAAATTCTTGGGAGTATGCACATGTACATTCAAATCCTGGCTTGGGAGTACCCTAGAAGTCCGTACTGAACTCCTGTGCAGGTTCATGGGTGCTTGGTTTTGAGTATGTGCAGATGTGTAGGTTTGCACCACAATGCCTGTTTTCACGAGTGCGGTGTTCCAGTTTACATCCGGCGCTTGTATCTACTTCTTGCTTGTTGATTTCAGGAGGGCCAGGAGTCCAAGATCCCGCTCACCGACTGGTTGACACCACGTGTGATGCTAGCCACCGTGTCGCCATCGGTGCTCCGGTATTATGAGCTTGTCGAAACTATCCGCCACACTCTGGATCTGTTTACCCATGCGCCGTCGTTTGCAATGGTGGTTCACGACCAAGCCGTAAGTCATCTTCCTCCTTCATAACTAGGATACCTTTTCATTGAAAGATATTTGCATCGGGCAATTGAAGCCCCCCCCCCCCCAACACACACACACAGTCACCCATTCATGTTTACAAGATTCAACCAAACACCAGGCCTATTGTTGATTGTATGCTGTACACATATTTGAATACTCCTCTCTGGACAGGGGCAAGATGAAATCAAGCCGTACAGCTGCTGCAGATACCTAGTGTCATCAATGCACAAGATAATGGAGGGCTCCATTTGCGTTGTCCCTCAGTTCCTAGTGCCTCTCACAGAGCTGATGGCCGTCTTTCACGGGCCTGACTATGTCAATATGTGGGATCCGTTCTCGGCGAAACTCTGGGTCGGTGTATATATGGTACTGGAGACAACATGTGAAGTAAGTAGACATGTTTTGCTGTTCTTGTATCTTGTTATCCTGGATTTCCTCTCTTGAACTGCTGGTCCGACTGTACTATTATTGTTGTGGAATACGTCCACTTCTCACATGAGCATGTATGGAACAGAGCTGTGCTTCCTGCCTTCTTTTCGTTGAAATGTGTGGTACTGACACGGACTGCTAATCTTTGTCTTGCATGATCGTTCAAACATTATGATATATTAGTACTTACAGTTTGCTGTGGCTCTAGTGCTATTTGTTTTTTGAACTTTTTTCTCTTCTGTTTCGTGTCCAATCTTCTCTTCTCTCCAGTTCTTGCTGTATCTATGCCGTGCAATTCTGAACTGCATCGATGAAGTCTCCACTGAGTCCCTGCTACGCTCTTTGTACAAGCTGCTCTTTGAGCGAAACGTCTTCATTCGTCAGAACTTCAATGAAGTCGTGACTACTGTGGATGTGGAATTCTTCAGTTCCTCGCTGGATATGCTGGAGGTGAGTTTAGACTATTCTCGACCCTGCTTTTGTTTCCATGCTGCTTCCACTCTCGCCACTGCTGCTTTCACTGTTGCCACTGCTGCTTCCACTCTCGCCACTGCTGCTTTCACTGTTGCCACTGCTGCTTCCACTCTCGCCACTGCTGCTTTCACTGTTGCCACTGCTGCTTCCACTCTCGCCACTGCTGCTTTCACTGTTGCCACTGCTGCTTCCACTCTCGCCACTGCTGCTTTCACTGTTGCCACTGCTGCTTTCACTCTCGCCACTGCTGCTTTCACTGTTGCCACTGCTGCTTCCACTCTCGCCACTGCTGCTTTCACTGTTGCCACTGCTGCTTCCACTCTCGCCACTGCTGCTTTCACTGTTGCCACTGCTGCTTCCACTCTCGCCACTGCTGCTTTCACTGTTGCCACTGCTGCTTCCACTCTCGCCACTGCTGCTTTCACTGTTGCCACTGCTGCTTCCACTCTCGCCACTGCTGCTTTCACTGTTGCCACTGCTGCTTCCACTCTCGCCACTGCTGCTTTCACTGTTGCCACTGCTGCTTCCACTCTCGCCACTGCTGCTTTCACTGTTGCCACTGCTGCTTCCACTGTTGCCACTGCTGCTTCCACTCTCGCCACTGCTGCTTTCACTGTTGCCACTGCTGCTTCCACTCTCGCCACTGCTGCTTTCACTGTTGCCACTGCTGCTTCCACTCTCGCCACTGCTGCTTTCACTGTTGCCACTGCTGCTTCCACTCTCGCCACTGCTGCTTTCACTGTTGCCACTGCTGCTTCCACTCTCGCCACTGCTGCTTTCACTGTTGCCACTGCTGCTTCCACTCTCGCCACTGCTGCTTTCACTGTTGCCACTGCTGCTTCCACTCTCGCCTCTGCTGCTTTCACTGTTGCCACTGCTGCTTCCACTGTTGCCACTGCTGCTTCCACTCTCGCCACTGCTGCTTTCACTGTTGCCACTGCTGCTTCCACTCTCGCCACTGCTGCTTTCACTGTTGCCACTGCTGCTTCCACTCTCGCCACTGCTGCTTTCACTGTTGCCACTGCTGCTTCCACTCTCGCCACTGCTGCTTTCACTGTTGCCACTGCTGCTTCCACTCTCGCCACTGCTGCTTTCACTGTTGCCACTGCTGCTTCCACTCTCGCCACTGCTGCTTTCACTGTTGCCACTGCTGCTTCCACTCTCGCCACTGCTGCTTTCACTGTTGCCACTGCTGCTTCCACTCTCGCCACTGCTGCTTTCACTGTTGCCACTGCTGCTTCCACTCTCGCCACTGCTGCTTTCACTGTTGCCACTGCTGCTTCCACTCTCGCCACTGCTGCTTTCACTGTTGCCACTGCTGCTTCCACTGTTGCCACTGCTGCTTCCACTCTCGCCACTGCTGCTTTCACTGTTGCCACTGCTGCTTTCACTCTCGCCACTGCTGCTTTCACTGTTGCCACTGCTGCTTCCACTCTGCTGCTTCCACTCTCGTCACTGCTGCTTTCACTGTTGCCACTGCTGCTTCCACTCTCGCCACTGCTGCTTTCACTCTCGTCACTGTTGCCACTGCTGTCGCCACTGCTGCTGTTCCTGCTATGCTGTATTAGTTAGTTGTGTGACATTGGCCTTTGTGAGTAGGGCAATGGTATCTGCTAGCAGCGGTCTTGCCTGAAACATGATCTGTCATCCTAGTAGCAGCAGCTAGCAACAACAATGTGGAGCCTGGAAGAGCTCCGGCGGGCTTGGCAGTGTCAAAGCACAGCTGTGCATGAGTCGCTGCTTATGACTCGCTGACTTTTGCAATGATACCGTGTGTGCGCCAACGTGTACTACCAGTCGATGCGCCAAGCCAGCTGAGTGGGTCTTTTTATTTTTTTCGCGCGAAAGTTTATGTGGTGAACTGTGTTGGTAAAGATGAAGATGTCAGTCAATGAAATTTGCTTATTTCTTGTGTCTAAACCAACCCTGTACGGATCGAACTGACGATTCCCGAGTGCGACAAATGTCCTGAAGTCTGCTCCTATTAGCTTGGTATCTAGAAATTTCAACTTGAGTGTCAAGTGAAGACTTTGCCAGTTGCAGACGAGGGAATTCTCGCTTCACGATTTTCCTGGTGTGTGGAGATACGTCGGAATGCCGACCCACCACACCCGACATGATGCTTCGGCCGGAATGCAGGTTGGTGCAGATAATTGCCTAATAATATATGTCTAAGCGTGTATACCTTTCCTTTCGTTGCATGCTTGGTTAATCCGACGGCACGAAATTATAGACATTTCGAAATTCACTTGAATATTATTTGGTCGTTGTATGTCTTAGTATTCCCTGTCAGTTTGTGCCTTTTTGTCGCGCTCGCCGACTGTATATGATCAAGCGACATTGGTACATGGTGGACAGTTAGTCATAACTCGTTACATTTTGTCCTTATTCTTTTTATCCATGATTACATTGGCTCACCATCCGAGTTTATTTATATATATTTTGATAGGGCAATATGTAATGTACACACACACACACACACACACACACACACACACACACACACACACACACACACACACACACACACACACACACACACACACACACACACACACACACACACACACACACACACACACACACACACACCACCCACACAGTGACACACACACACCACACGCACACACGCACACACCATCACATTACGACAAAATCAAGGCAATGCCGGCGAAGCTCTATAATTTTCTTGTGCCGCGTGCTAGGAGCATAATGGCATTGCCCGATAATAGCACTTGGTGTAAATGGGCTCCCATGTTCACACACACATACACACACACACACACACACACACACACACACACCACACATACACGCACACACCATCACATTACGACAAAATCAAGGCAATGCTGGCGAAGCTCTATAATTTTCTTGTGCCGCGTGCTAGGAGCATAATGGCATTGTCCGATAATAGCACTTGGTGTAAATGGGTTCCCATATTTGTGAAGTACATGTATTATTCGGTTGCTGGCTATCAATTGTGCTGTGAGCATGGCAGAGTGAGGTCTTCCAGCTTTGTTGGTGTTTGCTCTATCTTGTGTTTACGCTCTGCAGAAAGGATCACATGTAGTGCCTTCTCAGCATTACATTACATCCATTGCGTAGCAGCAATGTGCCATCCTTCCGCGACTTAGGTGGAATGACGTGCAAGTGGTGCTCCAGGGTCAACTTCAATTTGCCGAGCACTTATGCCGCTGGCTTGGGGTCAGCAGCTGGGTGCAAAGTCTCTGTATACAAATCGTGCACTGTCGTCAACAATATGGCATCCTTGTCCAGCAATTCCCGTCCTGTAGCGGCAATGACTATAATATTGGGGAAATCACTCTCGGCACCTTCCGTGCTGTACTGAGAGATGATGCTTCGCAATTGGTGGTCTGTGCTTGGTGCATTGTCGGCAGGGAGCATGTCAATTTGCTTTTGGTAGCAGCGTCTACAAAATCGACTCTCGTCTGAAATCCTGACATGGTGCATGCTACGCAACACATGCTCTGCAAGCTGAAAGTTTGGTGACTTCCACCTGTGTTCTGGTGTGAGTCTCGACTTACACCAAGCACATGTTGCATGGCCCACACACTGCTGGTAATGGGTTGGGCACAGAAGCGGTTCGAACTGTTCTTTCAGACTGTGCACGCGCAGTTTATCTGCAGGACAGTGTACGGATGCCGCTCCGCTGCAATCATGTACACTGCATGTGCTTTGGCTGACTGGTGGCTTATTTTCTTTCGCTGCTGTGCATACTTGGCGTCGCAGTGCTTTGACGCACTTGCAATAAATGCATTGACCTGACGTGATGGATGTGCATGTGTGTAGCTTTTGCCAATCTGACAGCATTGCGTCATGTGTAAATCGCTTGTCAGATGGCACTTTGGAGCAAATGCTTCATTCTGGGCCACATGGTCGTCAAGTATGTATGCTTGTGCCAGTTGTGGCATTGCTGGGTCTTCCTGCCGCTGACATCTGTGCACACAAGCATGGAAAATATACGTAAAAACACTAGTTAGAAATCACGTCACCAGAGGCATGCCCTTTTTTCGGCCAGAACATAACTTCCGCTCCAATGTCACAAAGACTTACTCTTTCGATACGTCCAGCCTAGAAGCAGCGAAATGCCTGGTTAATTCGGTGGCACGAAATTATAGGTCGGGCGACGAAATTTCGACGAAAAAAGGAAAAGAGACAAACCGACGTGTAGCGACACCAAACTACAGAATTTCGTCGTTCTTGAAGAACTCATAACAGAAAAAGGTGAAAGGCGACTACTGAATCCTCGAGTGTGACGAATAACTCCGAGAAAGCGTGAGACTGGCCAGCACGTACATACATGAAAACGATCGTATGTTGAGAATGCCTTGAGAAAAGTGCCCAAAAAGGGTGCATCTGAAAAATAGAACTCTGTGTTCCGACGTGATTTTTCAAATCTGGCGCATCGACTGCTACCATGTGACATGTACATGTAGTATGTACCTGCAGGTACGAGAGAGCTTGGAAGCTCAGGGCCCTACGCTATGCTTTTTTGCCTTGATGACCTAGACAAGAAAAGCATAGGGATGTTATAAATTCTTTAAAAAATTCCTTTTTTTTTAAGACATAACCTGGGATTCGAACCCGCACTATCGCGCCCTGCATGCATCCCCCGATAAACTTCGCATACATCCTAATTCTTCCAAGTTGCTTCACATTATGATCTTGCATTTGAAAGCCCTATTTGAATATGCATTGTGGCCAGCCGTCTTTGGTGGTACGGTACGGTAGGGATAGGTACGGGACAGGTACGATCGAGGGTAATACGACACCGTCTCCCATACCGTACCGTACCATCAAACACAGCTGGCCACATACAGCTGCCCGCAATATTCAAATAGGGCTTTCAAACGCAAGATCATAACGTGAAGCAACTTGGAAGAATGGGTATGAATGCGAAGTGTATGGGGGAATGCATGTAGGGCGATAGTGCGGGTTCGAAGCCCAGGATATGCCTGAAAAAAATAGGAGAATTGAAAAATTTATAACATCCCTATGATTTTTTGCCGTCAGATACGCCAGGCGTGACACAAACAAACAAACAAACAAACAAACACACAAATACCAAATTAAAGCTGTGTGGACCCTGGCTAGCGCCAGACATTACTGAAGTAACGTCTTTTGCATAGCTACGGGAATTAAACTTTGTTTTGTTGTGTTGTGTTGTTACGTGTAGGCTCTGCTCTTAGTTGGCATAACACACTATGATGCGCAGACAATGTACTGGTCAGTGCTGTGTCTGGATACTCTTGTTGCACTCATCGACTCGCTGCTGCCGTTCGACCCGTGGATCACCGGACCGGAGGCGATGGCGCCCGCTTTCCGCGACAATCTGACGCAGTATCGTGCCATCATCGGCCTGCAACGCAAGAGTGCCGGCCCGCCGCCACGCAAGGCTATCCTGGACGAGGCACGCTTGCTAGACAAACATACCGGCGGCATCATGCACGCTTGGCAGACCATGGCTAAGTGGTGGCGGGAGCTGACCGCACAGATCCAGTGTGCACTGGAAGATGGTGCCAGTGACCAGACAGAAGTCCTCGACAGTGTCCAGGTTAGTGAAGGGCATTACTGCTACCAAGAGTACAGGACCCCCCAGAGTGTGCAATGCCTGATCCAGCTCAGCATAGGGTCTTGGTCGAGCGTAATCTGATCTTTGCGTCATAATACCGTACACATCTGCGGGGAACCCGGGGAGTCGCGGGTATTCTTGGATCAAAAACAACGGTGCTCTGCCTCGAGACCGGCCTTGCGCTGGTGTGACGTGTACGCATGACATCAGAAGATCCGACTACGCTCGACCAAGCCCCTATGCAGAGCTGGATCAGGCGTTGCACACTCTGGGGGGTTATGTACTCTTGCTGTTACTTGATTCACACACGCAATCTCTTCAGATGAGCTAATTGCACAATGACATAGTTTATACCACCGATACGCCACACAGCCACCTGGGGATGGTTGTGTGGCGTGTTGAACAGTGCATTCCTGAGCCTAGCCTACTCACATGCATTGCTCATACCTTTCGTATTTGGCAATGCGCAATGGGTGTGTTAGTAAAGGATATTGCTGCTACATGTACTTGATTGGCACAGTCTTCAGATTTGTAAGTTATGTGCTTGAAATGGGAATACCGGAATAGTCTCAATTGCTCTTGGATTGCGCTGTATATGGTACACGTAGTGACTTCAAGTTTCATCTTTATTGCGTGAGCATGTGCGTATGTGCATGCCTGTGTGTGTGTGTGCGT